ATCAATAAAATGTCCACATTTTTTTATTTTGCAGCCTTTAGTTGATTCTTTAAACTTTCCTTACTCATCAATATTAAAGTCAGGGATTGGAGAAGTGTAATAGTCGTAGTAACATTCAAAATAATTTCATACATTTTTTTTATTTATTTAAAACTTCTTCATTACCTCGTATTAGCTTCATATTCCCAAATCACCTCACTTCCCTTGCATGAACTCAAAGCATACCTAATGCCAAAAAGTTAAAAAGAGAGAATCATTTCCAGTTTAAAGATGATCAGTAGCTGCGTACTAAGGATTTGGTGAGACCTTGTTGTTGCTATAATCTTGATCAATGTCTCATGGATTCTGTAACCTGAATAAATGATAAGGATCTCTGATTATTTGGCTATCTGTCTAACTTGTCTGTAAAATAATTCAAACAGCCACAAGACAGTCATTACTGAAGTTAAAATAAGAGAAGATACAAACTTTATCCTGTCCCCAACTATTGTTGTTAGCTCTCATTCAGTTGCCACCTGACTCATGGCAACACCATGTAAAGTGGGATCTGATTGTTGTCACATGTAGGTTACATGCTGATTTTGCAGGAGTAGATCACCAGACCTTTATTCCTAGTCTGTCTTAGTCTGGAAGCTCTGCTGAAACCTATTCAGTATCATAACATGCAAGCCTCCACTGACACATAGGTGGTGGTTATGCATGAGGTGCACCGGCCAGGAAGCCAACCGGGGTCTCCACATGGAAAGTGAGAATCCTATCATTGACCCACCCCTGCCCCCACCTGAAATACCACAGTGGAACAAAAACAGCTTGTGCAGACTGAGTCATCACTCAGTTCTGGCAAGTGCCCAGAGTAAGGGATCTTTCCTACACGACTGGGAGTGCAAAATGGAATAGCCCTTTTGAAGGCAATTGGTCAAAATGCTCAAAAATATGCATATACCCCATAGGACAACAGTTCCACTTCTAGGAATCTGACTTATGGAAAAATCTTAAATTTTAAAATACTTCCTATACAAAGACATACACCACAATATCATTTAAAACTAAAGGAGATATGGCCTAAGTGTCAAATACTATAAAAATATTTTTATAAAGTGTCATATTTTAATACTATAAATGTCAAGAAAATGATGTTTAATAGATTGGAAGGTTAAGAAAGGACTTACTTTATATACACACACACACATATATACAACCTCTCCTCATTTTTCGACTTTCTCATTATCCAACATATATATGTATCTATGTATATGTATATACAGAAGCAAAACTGGGCAATCAATTTCTATAAAGATTTACTGCCTTGGAAACCCAGTGGGGGTTGCTTTGAGTTGAAATTGACTTTATGGCAGTGAGTTTTTGTTTTTGTTTTTT